TATGCTCTACTAATATAGCAGTATGCTCTACTCTAGTGCTATGCTCTACTATATAGTGCTATGCTCTACAATATAGTGTTATGATCTACAATATAGTGTTATGCTCTACAATATAGTGCTATGCTCTACAATATAGTGCTATGCTCTACAATATAGTGTTATGCTCTACAATATAGTGTTATGATCTACAATATAGTGTTATGATCTACAATATAGTGTTATGCTCTACAATATAGTGCTATGCTCTAGTATATAGCAGTATGCTCTACTCTAGCGGTATGCTCTACTCTAGTGCTATGCTCTACTATATAGTGCTATGCTCTACAATATAGTGTTATGATCTACAATATAATGTTATGCTCTACAATATAGTGCTATGCTCTACAATATAGTGTTATGCTCTACAATATAGTGCTATGCTCTACAATATAGTGTTATGATCTACAATATAGTGTTATGATCTACAATATAGTGCTATGCTCTACAATATAGTGTTATGATCTACAATATAGTGTTATGCTCTACAATATAGTGTTATGCTCTACAATATAGTGCTATGCTCTACAATATAGTGTTATGATCTACAATATAGTGCTATGATCTACAATATAGTGCTATGCTCTACAATATAGTGTTATGCTCTACAATATAGTGCTATGCTCTACAATATAGTGCTATGCTCTACAATATAGTGTTATGCTCTACAATATAGTGTTATGCTCTACAATATAGTGCTATGCTCTACAATATAGTGTTATGATCTACAATATAGTGTTATGCTCTACTCTAGTGCTATGCTCTACTATATAGTGCTATGCTCTACAATATAGTGTTATGATCTACAATATAGTGCTATGCTCTACAATATAGTGTTATAATCTACAATATAGTTCTATGCTCTACAATATAGTGTTATGATCTACAATATAGTTCTATGCTCTACTATATAGTGCTATGCTCTACAATAGTGTTATGATCTACAATATAGTGTTATGCTCTACAATATAGTGTTATGCTCTACAATATAGTGCTATGCTCTACAATATAGTGTTATGATCTACAATATAGTGTTATGATCTACAATATAGTTCTATGCTCTACTATATAGTGCTATGCTCTACAATATAGTGCTATGCTCTACAATATAGTGTTATGATCTACAATATAGTGTTATGATCTACAATATAGTGCTATGCTCTACAATATAGTATTACGGTCTGCAATATAGTGCTACGCTCTACTATATAGTGCTATGCTCTACAACATAATGCTATGCTCTACAATATAGTATTATGCTCTACTATATAGTGCTATGCTCTACAATATAGTGCTATGCTCTACAATATAGTGCTATGCTCTACTATATAGTGCTATGCTCTACAATATACTGCTACGCTCTACTA